AGCGCTCGGCCCAGAAAGTGTCTTAACCTAACCTAACCCTAAATAATAATAAATAAATACTAATTTACTAATTTCGTCATGTACAAAATTGATAGGAGGGGGGGGCCTGGGGTCAGGGGGGGGGTCCAAAAATCGTTCACTAGGACAGACACACATTCTTTTTAAAATGTGTAAGTATGTGATGTTCAATAGGTTGGTTCGTTTTTGGTTCATGTTCTACAAATACATTTTTTCAGGGCAAAGATTTGGCAACAGTCAAAGTAGAAGAAAAGCAATTATTCTTAAAAATGTTTATTCTAAATATTTGCTTATCTTACACATGCTAAATTTTGACCCTGACAGATAATATAGGGAAAAATGATCCAAGGTAATTTCCTAATTTACGATTTTTGGACCCCCCCCCCCCCCTATCAATATTTTACATGGATTTCACATGTAAGACATGGATACAATTGACCATTTGGCCGCAGCGCCCGGCCTCCTGGACTGTCCTAGCCGCGGCGCTCGGCCCCCTACCCTTTCCTAGCCGCAGCGCTCGGCCCAGAAATAGTCTTAACCTAATCTAACCCTAAAATAATACAACACAATAAAATAAAATAGCCTAACATTCTGCAAAGTATTTTTTAAAACTACCTAAATAACGATTACAAATCATGTACAAAATTAATAGGAGGGTGGGGGTCCAAAAATCATATACTAGGACAGACCCCGATCTAAAAACGATTCTATAACGAACGTGTACAACGATCGATTTTGGATTGTTGTTTCAATTTTTAAGGATGTAATATTTAAAGTTTAGTAAAAGCCCCTTATCATTATATTCCCAATCGTTTCAGACATTTTTCATTTTTCCAATTTGTTAAATTTATTTTTAGTCGTACAACATCTAAATCTGAAGGAAAGTCTACTTGATTTCATTTTTGTAGTTAATTCTTAAATATATAAATATTTAATTTTACGTTTAGGTGAGAAACCTGACAAGGAGGAATCAGAAGATGGGGAACCAGATCAATGTTCTCAGGTAATCTATAATATAATCAGATGATGGAGAACCAGAATAATGTTATCAGGTAATCTATAATATAATCAGATTATGGAGAACCAGAACAATGTTATCAGAGCTGAAAGCTTTAGAATGGTGGATATCAGGATTAATGCTTAATCTACTCTTTTTCTTAATCTCCAGATTAAATATTGGTTTTTCTCCTCTCATTTTTAATCTCCAAATTAATTATCCGATCAGGATTAAGGATATCCCATTCAAAAGTTTTCAGCTCTGGTAATCTATAATATAATCAGAAGATGGAGAACCAGATCAATGTTCTCAGGTAATCTATAATATAATTAGATGATGGAGAACCAGATCAATGTTCTCAGGTAATCTATAATATGATTAGATGATGGAGAACCAGAACAATGTTCTCAGGTAATCTATAATATAATCAGATGATGGAGAACCAGATCAATGTTCTCAGGTAATATACAACATAATCAGATGATGGAGAACCAGAACAATGTTATCAGGTAATTAATCAGATGATGGAGAACCAGATCAATGTTATCAGGTAATATACAACATAATCAGATGATGGAGAACCAGATCAATGTTCTCAGGTAATATACAACATAATCAGATGATGGAGAACCAGAACAATGTTATCAGGTAATATACAACATAATCAGATGATGGAGAACCAGAACAATGTTATCAGGTAATATACAACATAATCAGATGATGGGGAACCAGAACAATGTTATCAGGTAATCTATAATATAATCAGAAGATGGAGAACCAGATCAATGTTCTCAGGTAATCTATAATATAATCAGATGATGGAGAACCAGATCAATGTTCTCAGGTAATCTATAATATAATCAGAAGATGGAGAACTAGATCAATGTTCTCAGGTAATCTTTAATATTTATATTTTCTGTCTTTCTTTGTATTCAATTAAAATTTCCTAATCGATCAGGGGACCTTAAATAATTTCAGGCATTCAAAATATTTTAGGAGGGATATTTTTTTTTCAAGTGAAAAATAACTTAAAAATGGTCACTAATAGATCCATTCTTTCTGATACTGGTATACCCAAAAATTCAGTATTTTTCTCAAATTCAAGGAATATAACCCTAGCAGGAATTTATTGCAAAAATACCAAACAAATGATTTGAAATGAAATGTAACGGAGTAGGGGAAGGAATGTTTTTTTTTAAATATATATTTCTGTATTTTAGTAAAATATTTAGACTTGTATTTTGAGTAATCTGAGAACAGGAAAATGGGCAAAATTTTTAATATTTAAAAATTTACGATAAAGATATGTTACACAATTAATTTTATTTCTTACATGGCTTTTCAGAAATCTGCACCTAAAGGTTGACAAATTCCGATAAAACACATTAATCCTTGTATATATGAAGGTTGTCAATCGTTTATGGAACTTTGAAATCACATAGATACTTAAATTAGGTTTTATTTTATTAAAACATGTTCTTTTTCAGGAGGATACAGGCGAAGTTTGTGAAGAGGTAGGACAAGGAAATACTGAAGAAGATGATGACGATGATGAGGGAATAGAACGGATTGAGTTTGTGCAGGAGATGGAAGTAGAAGGAGATGATGAAAGTGATGATGATGAGAGGACGGAGAGAAGGGAAGAAGGAGAAGTGGGTCGTAATATCGAGTATAGAGGAGTTATGATAGAGGATGAGGAGGAAGAGGATATGGAAGAGGAATATATTGAGATTAAATCAAGTATGTTAAATGGGGGGGGGGCATAAGTCGTATTACTCTCCGGAAAATTTAAACAGTGGTTAAACATAACCTAGCATTGTCGTAGGACGCTGATTTTTTCCATGCAAACTCACTAATATGTATTGTAATTGTAAAAAGATATTTCAAATAGATCGGAGCAAATGTGCGCGCGCCCTTTTTGTTAAAAAAGACGACTTTTTAACGTTTTCACATGCTTTATACTGTTAAATAAACTTGAAATTGCATGTGGACGCGATTAAACAAGAAATTCCTTAAAAGTTTTAGCCTCAAGTCCCCGTGCTCGCGTGCAATTATGAATAAATATAAATAAATATATTTTAATTCAAGTTGGGCCTAATTCCAAACAAAAGTAGCATGCGATATATGAACCTACAGGTACATTGGGACACGAAACTCATTTCCGAGGTCAAAATTGACTTTGGAGCATTCTGACCGGCGCGCTAGTAACCAGATGTCACATTATGGGTCATCTTACTATAAATTTTCTGGAGAGTCATACGGCTTATGCCCCCCCCCCCTTTATATAACTATTTACTAGGAAGTAATGTCAGACCTTTGGGCTTTCAAGCCTTGCTCTTGATCTGATCTTACCGAAGCTTCTTTTTTATTTTGAAAATTGAAAATTAATCATTAAAATTAAACTAAATTTGTGCGTCGAGTTGGAAAACAATAGTTCATAGTCGCCCCAATAATATTTAACATGGATTTTAGTGATTAGGCGAAAACTGGATAATGAATGCATGCAGGTGTTTATTTTTCGCTCTTCTATAATTTTTAAAGTTCTGAATTCAGCAAGTTTCATCAAGATTTATATATTTATAAAAAATTATTTAAATCTGCTCAGTTCCCGACCTATATTTGACCAACTATATAATTGTTTACTAGGTTCCCGACCTATATTTGACCAACTATATAATTGTTTACTAGGTTCCCGACCTATATTTGACTTACTATATAATTGTTTACTAGGTTCCCGCCCTATATTTGAGTACACCTGTAACCTGTGTCAGATGAACGCTAAGTCTAAGAGCGGGCACTGGTACAACAAGAAAAGAAGAACGCAGAATCCGTACTACCCATGTGATATGTGTAAATTTGTAGAATCAACTCTAGAAGAGTGGAGTGAAGATAAGGAGAGGGAAACTGCTGTTGAGTGTGATCAATGTGAATATACAGCGGAGACTCTAGAAGAAATGAAGCAGCACATGGAAAGAATTCATTCGTCCGGAAGAAAAGCCTCCAGTTCGGCTTTAAAACGTAAGATTCCTGAATCCGTCCTGAGAAACTCAGCTGTTTCAATAATCAGCCTTCCTGGCTCCGCAGTAACAGTCTCCACTCTCCAGCACTCAGTAATATCCAACTCAGCTTTATCCTTGTATTCTTCTCAGAGTTCTGATAGTTCCCTTCCTACGCTCCCAGCCGTCTCCATCTCAGCAATACCAACCTCTCCGAGCTCGGATCGATCTATATCTCCGGATTTAGCTCCGAGAACTGGTTATCCCAACTCAGCTCCAACTATTATTGGAGTATTCCCTTGCAGCGAGTGCAACTTTATCTCCACTTCTCGAGATAATATTGCTCGACACATGCAGGTGGTTCATGGTGTTATGACACAGAAGAAAACATTTCCTTGTCCTATTACGGAATGTGAATATATAGCTGAGGATTCAACCTCCCTTCGTCGACATACTCAGACCAAACATGAGGGTTTACGCTTCCCTTGTGACCTTTGTGACTTCTTTGCTACGAGAAAGTCTACGTTAAAAACGCACATAAAAAGCATTCACGAAGGTGTAAAATATCCTTGCGAGGTTTGTGCTTATGCTGCAACCCAAAAGTCGGCGTTGAAACGACACATGAACACGGTTCACAATCCAAATAAATTAGCCACACGGTTCAGAAAGTATCATGAAATGCCACCCAACACCTCTCTTGGAGATATTACAATCATCCCGTGAACGGGGACATTTTTCATTACAATTAAGTGTCCAGATATCAGAAAATATGGCGACAGGAACTTTGAAAAGTGATAGTTAAACAAATCACTTGGATTTGGAAATCATTATCCATGTTTTATAATAAACTGCACTGCTGTGGAAAATTCTCAAGTGAACCCATAAATCGGTAATTTTTAGCTCCATGTAACCAAACCTTGATAAATGTATGCGAATTGATTGTACAATCAAATGTAGACTGTACAATGTACATAAAACAATGTAGGTACTGGTGTACACACTGAACTGTGTCACAACCTACTGATATAAAATTTATTTTTAGTAACTAATTAACATCAAAACAATTAAAACAAACTCGAGAAGCTTATTTTTTCATGTAAAAAATATTTCTTGGAGAAGACTTAGATTTAGTTGTTTTGACAACTCACTACATAATATATTTAATATTTAATTATGGTTTCAAAATTAATGTTTCTTTATTTTGAAGCCTGTACTAATAACTAAATTATTTTATGATACCTTTGTTTTATTGAAAAATTAGTTATTATCCCGTTGCATATAACACTCTTGCTTTGATTAAAAGATAATGAAAGGAAAGAATTTACCCGGTTTCTTCTTGGTAGAGCAGAATAACTTTATTATTTAACTAGCTTGAGAACCCAGATTTGTCTGACAACTAAACTTTTTCATTAAAATTCATTCCGTGGTTCTTCTGAGTTCTTCAATCAAAATTTGAATCAAATCAGTCAAGGGGTCCCTGAGTTATGATCCAGATCGTACAAACAAACCGAGAGCACTGCTTTTTATATAAATAAATGATTTCTCAATTTAATATTATACTTCTGTAAAACGGAATAATTGAATGTGTTAAATATTTGTTTATAACAAGGAGTAATATAAATAAGGAGGGGTTTAGTTTACATTCTCCTGTGACGAACCATGAGATTTAGAAAATAGATTTTCAAAGAAACGGCAATTAATACACAGTGATTACAAAGACCCGGCTCATCTTCTCTGAAAAATAAATTGGTTTATTTAAAAAATTTACCTCTACTTATTTGTATTCTCAACGATATTAATTAATATTTTACTTTTTAGTGACATATTTTGGTGAAATATGGTTACAGTGCATGTTTTAATGTGATGGAATGTATTAAATGTTGTAGCTGAAGAGAAACCTAACTTTTATTTTTACTTTTTTGTTTTAAACTCGAGAAATTCGGAGACCAATTTCCGGCCGGCAATATATTTAGTATCTGTTCACTGTGTTCAGTGTTCAATGTTCATGTTTTTAAATGTTAACGATTACATAATTGTGAATTGTGGACGGTTAACCCTATCAACTGCTAATTATCAGTAATCAGCATGTTTTCTATTGTAATAACCAACCACAAGCATGTATACCTGATTTAATTTTATCTTACCCTTTGTCCGGATTAATATTTATCATTGATAACGTTAGAACAATTATCAGCAAACATATATATTTATATCAAATATTTTTATGGTTATTATTGACACAATCATCATTTTATCCTGAAATATTTTAAATGTTATGTTTTATGTTTTTAATAATTAAATATAAAATGTAATTTTGACTCTTTTTGTGTTTTCACTAAATGTTAACTGAAGATATTAAAGATTTGGTTCTATAAATATAATTTGAAAATATTTTCTATGAAACTACAAAAATAATTAATAATTATTTTTTCATAAATTAAAACAGGCTTTTTTCCTCATTATTTATTATTATTATTTTTATTAAGCAAGTTATTAATGACTCATTACTGATAATGGAAAAAGGGAAAATGCATGAATTTTTATCCGTTAAATCTCAAATGAAAATATTTCTCCATTTATAAACATCATGCAGTGAACTCCCGATTTATGAGTTAATTGAGGGAGGGAAGGCACCTGCACACCACATCTTTTTTTCGTCCAACCACAAATTATGTCACAACTCACCATTATTTCTTCCGACCACAACTTTCTTTCGTCCGGTATTGTTAACAATATTTGAAGTACTTTGAATTATTATTCTAGAATTTTGAGCCACGACATGTTTTTTATTATGGTTGAAACTATTTTATCCTGTTTTTTGTTTAAAGAAATACATCTTGTGAAGGTACAGTTGGCATAAAACAATATGCAAATCTTTTTTTCACAATCCCTCAAGCAAACTAAAACCATTTGTTATGTTCCTTATTAAAAAATGTCAATTTATAATTGTAGTTACTAAAAGTTGCAGTTTAGGAGTAAAATGAGAGAATATTTCCGGACGAAATTTAGATGTGGTCTGGAGGATAAATATTTGTCCTGGTGTAAGATTTTCAGAGGGAACTGGTTTGTTGTTCTTCCGCTTTGTCGATGTACATACGCCATACACGGAATTCAGGGAAAATCTAGTGCACTGTCACACTATAATTTGAGTCCCCCTTGTGCACATTTACAAGCTAAAATTTGAGTTCCCCTTGTGCACATTTTCAAGCTAAATTTGAGTTCCCCGTGTGCACATTTACGAGCTAAAATTTTAGTCTCCCTTGTGTACGTTTATTCTATAATTTGAGTTCCCCTTGTGTACGTTTATTCTATGATTTAAGTCCCCCTTGTGTACGTTTATTCTGTAATTTGAGTTCCCCTTGTATACGTTTATTCCATAATTTGAGTTCCCCTTGTGTACGTTTATTCTATGATTTGAGTCCCCCTTGTGAGTTTTTGCGCTTTAATTTGAGCCCCCTAGTGAACGTTAATATTCTATAATTTGAGTTCCCCTAGTGAATGTTTATTTTATAATTTGAGTTCCCCTAGTGAATGTTTATGCTATAATTTGAGTTCCCCTAGTGAATGTTTATTCTATAATTTGAGCCCCCCTAGTGAACGTTTATTGTATAAGTTGAGTCCCCCTAGTGAACGTTTATTCTATAATTTGAGTTCCCCTAGTTGACGTTTATTCTATAATTTGAGTTCCCCTAGTGCATGTTTACGACTTCATGAGAGGATAATATATTATATATTTCCGGTTGTAAAGATTTTAATTGAATTTCTTCTTTAGGTAGAAAAGATGGAAGAGGGAGGGGGAGCAACTTACATTTGATCTCTTGATCCTTTGTATGTATGATTGTTAGTTAGAGGCTAATAAACTGCAAAGTTACCGAACAAAATTGACCCAAAATTCAAGTGAATTTAAAAACTTCCAGGAGAGATTTATCACATGATGAGGGGAAGGGCATTTTCAATTCTCATGAGGTAACATTCTAATAAAAATGGTTTAGTTTTTAACTTTACTTACGTAGTAAATTTGACAAATATAAAAACCAAGTTTTAGAAATTTCATGTTTTGATTCTGGGACACCCTGTTTAATTTTTAAATCAAGGGTTTAGTTTCCCTAGCCCCTTCTTCCTCAATATTCGATAAAGTTCGGTAAGATTTATAAAACTAAGGAATTGGAAAAGGACGGTTTGGCTCAAGTTAATGAACTTAGACTTTGGATAGGTCAAAAAAACTGAAATTAAGGAGTTGTGCAGTGTAAACAGCCCCATTTTACTTCTTTAGATGATTTTCAAGCTGCTGGTTAAACTAAGTACTTAATAACATCTTTAAAATGCATGATTAGATGTCGTCTTCCTATTCCACAGGTTTGACATGGGATGGCTGTATGTAAGATTGTAAAACAGGAATGAGTAAAGAAACCATTGCATGATTGTATTGTTCCATGACGTCAGAATTGGGTGGTTAAAGGTTTAAGGTGGAAGGATGACTCGAAGAACTAAGTGCAAATATTGTTTGCATAATATACCGCCAAAACCATGGTTTTTAATCCTATGAAGAATATTATATAAAAATTTATCTGGAGGAGCGCTAAAAAATATCAAATTATCTGTAAATATTTAAAGATAATTTTTTTTGAAAAACCAAATTTTGGAACGTTTTTTCATTTTTTTTTTAAAAATTTCATAAAGAATTATCAATAATTCAATGTGATATAAAAAAAGCCGCAAAAAAAACATATTTCACGAATTTGGTTTTCTGAGGGACTGCGCGCACACTTATTGTATAATAATTCTTAAAGTATTTCATCGTTAAAACCTCTTCTCCCCTTTTCTTAGTGTATGTTAGAAGACCCGCTGATCTGTAAAAAAATTTAAGAGCAATGTAATTATGCCCTCGAAGTAAAGACCTTTTTTTAAAAATATCAGTTTTTTCAATAATATTCTTGATTTTCTGTCGCATTTCAATTTTTTATACCGAAATTCCGAAGCAAACAAAAATTTTGAAAAGTTTGTACAAAACATCTCTAATCCCGGTTTTTTTCCCCACAACCTGCTCTATATAGGGAATTAAACCTAGTTATAACTACACTTTCGGGTCTCCTGTCTTCTCTAGTAACAATTTAAGCTTTAACTATTGGTTTTCTGGTCGCCAGGTTTTTCATCGTTCCTTAATTTTCGCATTTTTTTTTTTAAATTGGTGCATTTTCAATATTAATTAATATAGACTTTTTCTTATAATGAATTTTCTCCTTGATGTATTTATATATAAACTGAGCTTTTCTTTTAAATTGGTTTTATAATAAAACTTTACAGACTGCTGTGTGGTTAGAAAAAATAAGGGTTCAAAGTTAGTTTTTATAGCTTTATAGCTTGGGAACTCAGCTTTGCCTGGAAACTAATATTTTTCTTGTAAAACCGATTAACAGAATTTAGAATTGTTGTACCAGGCTTGTGGATCTAGCCAGTTCCCCATGATCTAAATTTTATGGATTATACCGGACATACAAACACAGAGATTACTACTTTATAAATATTTAAAATCACCAAGAATTGTCAGTATGGGCCATGAAAGCCTAAAATTTCTGTTTTATCATTTTATATTTAAGAATTTTCTCGTGTTTTAATACACTTAATGCAGAAAGTCTACTACAAGAGCTACTATTAAAATTTGAAGAAAGATGTCCCCCCCCCCCATAAGCTGCCATGGTTTGAATCCCTGTAAAGGGGTCTGTGTGGGGGGGGGGGTTACCTAGAATATAAACTCCTATACATGACTTGCAAAGTTTAGATAATTTCATACTAAAACTTGCAATTATGGCGAATTATAAAAAAGTTCTTAAATAAAGCTTGCAAACTAAACGGCAAAATGAATTGCAAAAAATGTTCATAAATCATAACATTTATAGTTTCTGCAACTAATTCAGTGAGCTCAGAAACCATTTTGTTTATAAATCACGAGAGGTTTAAAATTCCAATCCTACGAATCCTACACTTTCTTTATTTCAACGATTCCTTCTAGATTGAAAAGGTTGAGACCAAGAAGTGAAGTACAGAAAACAATGTGTAACAAGAACTGTGACAAGATGTTTGTAACGTGTGAACACCCTGTATTATTGCATTCACCATCATCTATTCTATTCTAGACATATTGTTAAAAAATTAAAATTTAAAAAAATGCAAAAAAAAGTGAGTGTATTTTCAGGTCATCAATCAATCAGTAAGATTTTTAAGGGACACCCAGTGACCCTATAATGAGTTATGACCACATCAAAATCTAACCAAACTATTACTAAACAAAACCTTTTATTTCAGAAATGTTTTCATTCATTTTACTTTAATGGAACTAAGTCTCTCATTTTCTATTCCTTTATCTTTGCAACATGATGTCGTACACTTAAAATATTTCAACCTATGAATATTAGAAGATTTAATTACAAAGATTGAAATTTCAAAAGGTTTCACCATTAGGTTGGAAAGATATAGGGATTATAATATTCGATTTTGTGGCCAAAAACTAAGTTTTTTCATATTAGAAATGTTTTATAAAATCGCCAAATCATTAACTACATATCTTCAACATCATTTTTATTATAAGATTTTCTCTTTCTTGATATAAAACTAAAACATTTAAAAAGATCAACAAACTTTATTGAAAAAAAAATTCGAATAATTTACAAATGTTAAATTTTACGTTTAAAATGTCTTTTAAATCATGATGATATTGTTTTTTACAATTGTGAAGTTTATTTTTTCATGGAATTACACTAAGCAGTTTCACTAGAAGATGACAGTTCAACTTTTTTATTTAATCTGTAGAACGGAAATCTTGAAATCTTGTTTTTTGTTTTAATGTTTACTTCTCTCCATCTTCCTTTACCATCAACAATTCAAAAATAATTTTGAAAAGAAAACAAAAAACAAACAAAATTTGGATTTTTTTCACTTTAAATTGCTTTAAAATTTAAAGAATATCTAATTTAAAATTCTTAAAAGTCAATGAGACTGTTCACTTATTTGGGTAATTTTATGGTAAACTAATTAGCCTCTTAGCTATTCATTGGCATTACCCTTACTTTTTAAAGATATCTATGCCCGGAGAAAATTCCGATTTATCGTCCAGAATCCCGGCGGAAAGGTATGATATCTTTGCATAGACACTATTTAAACGTTATTTCGATAACACAGCCCAAAAAATCTAAAATTATCATATTTTAATAACAAAATGTGTCCGCCATTGTATAATAAAAATATTTTTAATTATTTTAGAATTAGCAAGAAATTAACGTTTTCGTGTTCAAACATGATTTTAAAAAATTAATACAAAGACGACTTTCTATCTCAGACAAACCGATTCCCAGATTCCAACTCTTCAATAAATGACGGGGATTCCTGGGGAAGTAGAGAAAACGTATCAAACCGTCAAATATTTAAAATTAGTTATATTTTGGAAATAGACAATTTTAAAATAATTTTGAAAAATATTGAATATATCTTCAATTAACTAGTAGATACTACAATTTACTTTACTTAAATTTTAAAAAGTCCGTATACTATGACTATAGTATACTAAGACAAAAAGGATCAAATAGTGTATATGTGAATACCTTTGCTCTGGAATTATGAATGATAAATCGGCTTTTTCTCAGGCCACAATTGTCTTTGAAAAGTAAGACTAATATCAATAGGCTATTTAGTTTCCCCTCAAATTACCCTAACAAGTGAACGGTCCCTTTAATTCCCCATTTTTTCAAATACTTAGAAATGTTTTTTTAAATGTAAAATGTTGATTTCCTTATAGTAGTGCAGAGAAAAAGTGAGAGAACCATTCCAACAAATTCTGAAAATGAAAATAAATGTTTTTGTCTGATCATAAAAATGTTGGGCAAATAATTCTTGAAGGTTTAAATCTTTCATCTAATTCTTTGCTTTAGCTGAATAAACGGTGCTTTTTATTTTGTTTCAGAAAAATCATCAGTAAATGGTTAAAAATAAGGAAAAATATCAATTTTTCAAAATGAACTTACCGATAAAAAGAACAACGAGGCCAAAAATTAATAGATAAAATATATTTTGTTTAAGAAGGAAAACCAGCTTATCTGTACACCCCTGAAAATAGTTGAAATCAATAGTGAAAACTTCATTTTTTATTTGTAGGTTTTCTCAAATAGATTACCAAGTACAATAGGTGGCAACATAGAAATGGGCCAATTATATACGACGTCATAAGTGTCAAACATAACAAGGAAAAAGGAAATTTTCTCACATTAGTTGACATGTTTTCCAAGATTAAACAAAAAAGTGTAAAAACCGAAAATAAGAAACATTTAAATTTGCACTTATTTTACTGTAAGATAAGCACTTTAGTCTAAAATTATCACTATTATTAATAATTTTGTCGGACACAAAAACTGAGTTGACACGACATCTGTACTGAGAGTGTACACATTTTACGTTGCCATCTATTGAAACTAGAATCTATTTGGGAGTTTCTTGTAATTTTGGGACAAAGTTAAAAAAAAATTCAGGAACGATATTATTGAATTATATTAACAGAGACTAGTTGACTTAAAATACTCTTTTAAAATTAATTAGAGCAACATTTCTAATATTTAACAAGAATAGATAAAATTCAATTTTCTTTATTTCTATCAAAATATTAGGAAAAGAAATAATTTAAAAAACTAAACTCTGAATAAGACCAGTTAGAGAACTAACCTCTGAAATTGAATAAAGACCAGTTAGAGAACTAACTTCTGAATAAAGACCAGTTAGAAAACTAACCTCTGAATAAAGACCAGTTAGAGAACTAACCTCTGAATAAAGACTAGTTAGANTAAATTAGAGGAGCTGCTACACAAAGTATATATCATATGTATAGGTATTGTATAGAAGTATGTTAAATTAGAGGAGCTGCTACACAAAGTATATATCATATGTATAGGTATTGTATAGAAGTATGTTAAATTAGAGGAGCTGCTACACAAAGTATATATCATATGTATAGGTATTGTATAGAAGTATGTTAAATTAGAGGAGCTGCTACACAAAGTATATATCATATGTATAGGTATTGTATAGAAGTATGTTAAATTAGAGGAGCTGCTACACAAAGTATATATCATATGTATAGGTATTGTATAGAAGTATGTTAAATTAGAGGAGCTGCTACACAAAGTATATATCATATGTATAGGTATTGTATAGAAGTATGTTAAATTAGAGGAGCTGCTACACAAAGTATATATCATATGTATAGGTATTGTATAGAAGTATGTTAAATTAGAGGAGCTGCTACACAAAGTATATATCATATGTATAGGTATTGTATAGAAGTATGTTAAATTAGAGGAGCTGCTACACAAAGTATATATCATATGTATAGGTATTGTATAGAAGTATGTTAAATTAGAGGAGCTGCTACACAAAGTATATATCATATGTATAGGTATTGTATAGAAGTATGTTAAATTAGAGGAGCTGCTACACAAAGTATATATCATATGTATAGGTATTGTATAGAAGTATGTTAAATTAGAGGAGCTGCTACACAAAGTATATATCATATGTATAGGTATTGTATAGAAGTATGTTAAATTAGAGGAGCTGCTACACAAAGTATATATCATATGTATAGGTATTGTATAGAAGTATGTTAAATTAGAGGAGCTGCTACACAAAGTATATATCATATGTATAGGTATTGTATAGAAGTATGTTAAATTAGAGGAGCTGCTACACAAAGTATATATTATGTATATGTATTGTATAGAAGTATGTTAAATTAGAGGAGCTGCTTCACAAAGTATATTATGTATAGGTATTGTATAGAAGTATGTTAAATTAGAGGAGCTGCTACACAAAGTATATATTATGTATAGGTATTGTATAGAAGTATGTTAAAGTATTGTAAGTACAGAATCTGTGAAGGGGGAATTAAGCTTGAAAAGCATTAAAGTTCCTAATTGAATCTCCCCTACCTCCTACATATTCTCTCCCCGCCACCCCACCCCCCTCCAAACTCCTCATATTCTACTATTCATCTTCCCATTTAGCAGGTGCCTCAACGATATATTGTCTTGATGTAGATTCCATTTTTGTATTTATATACCCTCCAATTCATATTTCCATTAGGAAAGTAAACTTTATAGTTAAAGAGAGTGTTCGCGAAAAATTAAAGGGGGGTATAGGCTGATATTGAATTGAATTCATTATTGATGGTAACTGATTTCACTTTTATTTGTTTCGTAAATAATTCAGCTTTAAGAGAAGCAACAACTGTGTCTTGTTAGGTGCTTCTGAAAGTATTCAGAGATGAAGGGTGAGAGAGAAAGAGAGAAAATGGCAAACTAGAGAAACTTAAGCCAGGTTTTTGCACACAAATGGAAAAAAAACGAAACTACCATCAACATTGTAATTCATCTTTTAAAGCTATATTACCCTGGAGAATGAAGGTTTATTACCTTTTTTTGCTACTGATAGCTTTATATATGGCACTAGTCAAAATTTGAAATATCAATGATTTACATCCTGTATTATCATGTTGCAAAGATATAGAAATTATAACACTAGAGTTTGGGACGCGTGTGTATCTTTTTCTAGATGTTGTCACCAGTATGTTGTGTATCTAGTGTATATTGTTCCTTTGCTATTTTAATTTGGAATTTAGCTTTAGTTTAACATATTTACATTCTTATACATACATCTTGTACTAGACACTACACTGAGAAGGAAAGCATGTTTAAATTATATAAAGGAGAATGTCAATTTCAATTTATCTGAGAAAGATAGATCGTGGCTCTTCTACCTGGAAAATGTTGAATTCTGAAAATTATCTTCAATCTCTCTTGATGCATAAAATCGCCAATTATAAAGAACCGGTATTGTAAAATAATCAATCTTAAAGAATTAAGAAAGGGAGTTAATCACATCATTTAATCACAGAATTTTAAATGTGAATCGGACATGCCCTTACATAACATGGAGGATCAATTTAAATATCGTCCACAGTCCCTTAAAGAAGAGATACATCATAGGTTTTACATATATAAATATATACAGCAATAACAAATCTTAAGACTTATTTTAAAAAGAAATATATATATTGAGTTGTTCACCGAATTTTGACTACTGAGGATCGTCATGAGGCGTGAAACATTAAGTTTAGTGTTATTCTTTTTTAATAAAATGTGAAGTTTAAAAACTGAAATATATATTTGTATATATATATATATATATATAACTATAAAATTATCTATATAATAAACAAGACATTCATGTATATATTGTGTATAGCCGGCCAATCGACTGGACCGAATAGCTGAGATTTTTTGTGGACACTCAGGGGTGGTTGGGGAGTGTTATAGGTTAAAAATATCGATATTTTAAAATAAAAAAAAAATTTAATATTTTTTTCTGACCTTTCAGCTAGTTATTATTATTATTAATGATGAACCTGATATCCTGAAAACCTTGACTTTCTCCAATCTAAGGGACCATCGCCCCCACAACATTCAAGCTAAAGAATAAAAATATATAACTGAAAACACTATCTTAATGCAATTTAAACAAAAATGAAATATGTACTTTTGAAAGAAAATTTTAGTAAAAAAGCATAACTGATTTAACAGTGCTTTTCTTTTCCCATCAAAATGTGACTTTCGAATTCGATCACATGTTTACTTATTAAATATAATTCTTTTGCCTTCTTTTCTTTTATACTTTTTAACAATATATGCATTTTCAATTAAAAATTATAAGATTATGTTTAATGATTGAAAAATTAAAGATCAAAACGCGGTAAAAGTCAAATAGAAGAAAGCGAACGAATCTCGCCCTTGTTAGTCCTGTTTGGATTCAAGATTTACTTCAAGTAAATTCCTCGTTAAATGGGAATATTCAATCATAACTCCTCTTTTAAAAAAATATATTGCCACATAAATCTACTTTATTCACATAAAATGAAAATTAGAGGAGCTGCTACACAAAGTATATACACTATGTATAGGTATTGTATAGAAGTATGTTAAATTAGAGGAGCTGCTACACAAAGTATATAATATATAGGATGATACAAATAAATCAATTTGGATACAATCTGGCACTGATCTGTCAAATGACCGGCCCTATAAATATGAAAGATGAAGTTTCAGAGTTTTTGAATTTAGAACAAAGGGTGTTCCAATAAACATGATGATTGAGAGACGAGTTGAAGATTATCTTTCAAATCTGTACCTAATGACAAAACTGTTATGTTTCATGTTTGTAATTGGTCAAAAATAGATGACATATTACTGAAATTTGAGAAGTAAGTTTTATTCCAATTTCTGAACTTATATTCGCTTCGTTGTATATTGACTGCACAACATGATGTAGGAAACGTTTTAATCTTGGTTTAGAATCCATCCAGAAGGTTTTAGCATTAGTTTAGGATGTTTTATAAAGATAACAGAATATTAAAGATATTTTTGGGTAACAAGGGATGATAAAAATATATACTTACTGTAATACAGAGCTCACATTGGAATTGGTGTAATGACATGCGTTGGAAATCAAATACTCTTTGAAAACCCTTCTAACAGTTGTATTGACTTGTAAGTTTGACATTACAAATATTTTAAACCTATTTCTAATTTAATAAAACCTAAAAGTTAAAATGTTTTGTCTTTAAATGGAGAGACAACAAGAGATTGAAATTTTACAGCTATAATTCCTTTCTGACCAGTGGAAAGGCAAAACATAATCTCCTTAAACATCTCTACAATGTAATTTTATCACAACAATGAAGGTTTAAAGTTTCTGTCCATAAAAGGAATTGAGTTTTTGTCACAAATTGGAATTTTCTAATCCCTATATCTTTGCAACCTGATGGTGTAAACTTTCATTAGCCTAGAAAGAAGGGCGCGAAGCGCCTTGAATTTCTAGTTCTATAAAATTCAAAGTTTGAAATATCTAAGGTCTGAGACTGGGTTGTGAAGATATTGGGATTAGAAAGTCAGAGATTAAGGCTAAGACTCAATTCCTTTCAAGTATTTCTTAACTAAAGTTGATCTTGATAACAGAATTATAATAAGTAATTTAATAATGTATGTTTTTTAAATTAGATGTGTAAATAGAAATATATTAATACTTAAGGTAAGTGATAAAATAGAATTGATAATTTAGTCTTATAAAGCTTTAGAGTAGATTAAATAATTCTTCAAAAGCATTACATTCTGACTCAGCCTCTTTTATTTTTCGCGAACACTCCCTTTAAATACATTTAATGTAAGTTTGTTTGTATGAAAATTATTCAAAATGTACTTTTAAATATTGATTAATGAACAATTCTAGGAAATCTGCCAATTTACAAATGTACAAAATGTCACAACACAAAATTTTCTTTGAATTAAGAAAACAAGAAGAGTTTGCTTGACAGTGCAAGATGTCCAAGCTGCTGATTCAAGGACATCAGCACTAGTCAGCAGTCTTCAAAATAAAGGACAATGTTGACAACTTTTCAATCTTTCGGGAAACACTTAATTAAACGATTTAAATGACATGATTGCTGATATTTGAAACAGAAAAAATAAAGATTAGTTTTTAAAAATATTTTTTTTCTGTTCCGCCGTTAAAGTGAAACCCAGTTATAGAAATTAAAATAAATAAAGTTTTATTTTAGTTATTTTTCTGCCAAAATGTGTTTTCCTTTAAATAAACCCCGCGAACTGATGCATTTGACAGATTTTGATAAATACGTCTAAACGAATAATAAATTGCTAAATTGTCAGAATTTTATATTTGCGAGGTGTTTTTCTAGAGAAAATTGAGGAAATTATCTAAACACGGGGCAAACATGATTTCAAAAACAGATTTTAAGATTACATAGAGATACAAATTTACAGGGAGGGGAGGGAAGAGAAGTGGGAGGTAGAAGGGGAGGGGAGAGGTGTTGGTGTTAAATACTTAGAGGAGAGGTAGAAAGAGTGAAGTGGAAGTGGTAAAATGGAAGATGAGTTTTAGAAATATTCTTTCACTGTTAAGATATGGGGGGGGGGGTCTAGGGTTTCTTCATAACTTAAAAAGCCTTGCACTGGAGCACTCAAACTTTTTCACTTTTCTTTTCTCATTTTGTACTATTGACATGCATCACTATACCACATCAAAACTTTAAGGGCTAAATCAAAGGGGGGGGGGGGGCTGAAATAGCCCCACTGGGATAGGGCTAAGTAAACAAAAATTTGCTTTTATATTATGATTCAAACAGAAAATTCCCAAAGTGAAAAATACTAATGATTTATAAGGAATGAAGATAAAAATTAAAACATGAATAACAGTTTTTTAAACTTTTTTTTTAACAAAATAATATATAATTTGTATTTCTCATAATGTTACTAACAAATGTCTGTAATTTGGTGCGAGATCAAATGACAAGTAAAATATCAAATGTTTATTTTATTACATATGTATGTTAAAATATTTATTGCTTGAAACTTTGCATAAACTTTTGACATTATGCATAAAGAAAAAAAGGCTTCTTTAGAATAATAATTCGTAGAAAGCAATTAGCTAGTCATAAATTCTTGTTTATGTTCAGATTATCTATATTGTGTTTGTGGTAACCTGTCTAGTTTAAACCAGAGCTCATTTGTGGTAACCTGTCTAGTTTAAACCAGAGCTCATTTGTGGTAACCTGTCTAGTTTAAACCATAGCTTTTTTGTGGTAACCTGTCTAGTTTAAACCAGAGCTCATTTGTGGTAACCTGTCTAGTTTAAACCATAGCTTTTTTGTGGTAACCTGTCTAGTTTAATCCAGAGCTTATTTGTGGTAACCTGTCTAGTTTAACCAGAGCTCATTTGTGGTAACTTGTCAAGTTTAACCAGAGCTTATTTGTGATAACCTGTCTAGTTTAAACCAGAGTTTATTTGTGGTAACCTGTCTAGTTTAAACCAGAGCTTATTTGTGGTAACCTGTCTAGTTTAAACCAGAGCTTATTTGTGGCAACCTGTCTAGTTTAAACCAGAGCTTATTTGTGGAAACCTGTCTAGTTTAAACCAGAGCTCATTTGTGGTAACCTGTCTAGTTTAAACCAAAGCTAATTTGTGGTAACCTGCCTAGTTTAAACCAGAGCTTATTTGTGGTAACCTGTCTAGTTTAAACCAGAGCTCATTTAGTGGTAACCTGTCTAGTTTAAACCAGAGCTTATTTGTGGTAACCTGTCTAATTTAAACCAGAGCTCATTTAGTGGTAACCTGTCTAGTTTAAACCAGAGCTTATTTGTGGTAGCCTGTCTAGTTTCAACCAGAGCTTATTTGTGGTAACCTGTCTAGTTTAAAATAGAGCTTATTTGTGGTAACCTGTCTAGTTTAAACTATAGCTTATTTGTGGTAACCTGTCTAGTTTAAACCAAAGCTCATTTGTGGTAACCTGTCTAGTTTAAACCAGAGCTTATTTGTGGTAACCTGTCTAGTTTAAACTATAGCTTATTTGTGGTAACCTGTCTAGTTTAAACCAAAGCTCATTTGTCCTGTCCTGTCCTATCCTGTCTATATCTCCTTGTCGTATCCTGTCTGTATCTCCCTATCCTATCCTAGAATACCCCCGTCCTTTCCTGTTAATATCCCCTGTCCTATCCTGCATATATTCCCTGTCCTATCCTGTCCTATCCTGTCCTATCTTGTCCTATCCTGTCCTATCCTGTCCTATCCTGTCCTATCCTGTCCTATCCGGTCCTATCCTGTCCTATCCTGTCCTCTCCTGTCCTCTCCTGTCCTATCCTATCATATCCTGTCCTATCCTGTCTACTTCCCTCTGTCCTATCCTGTATTATGGTTAGGATGAATGATACAGTTTAAAAATAAACTGTTCCTGTCAGAAGGGGAAAGAGCAGGGAATATAGTTAACTTGTTTTGGTAAACTAAATTTTGGTAGAATTCTCTCAATCAACTTTAAAATAACATATATGGTCAAATTGGCTTTAAACACTTTAATTTTAACGCTTTATATGAACACTTAAGCACAGTGGAATAAATACTCAACACTGAACACTGAACTTAAGAACAGTGAAAACTGATTTCTAAAACTTGAACATTGAACTCTAAACATTAAAGACCTTGACCCTGGAAACTGCAAGATATTCAGGATAAACCAAGTCGTCAGAATGAATTCAAGTTCGTGAACCAATCAATATAATTTAGTAATTTATGATGGATTTTATATTCAATTGAAGTAAAGCC